TTCACATAATTGCTTTTATTCATAAAAGATTTCAGTTTTTAAAGTGAAAACATACAACTAGAAGTGTAGCTCAAAATCTAAACTGATATTTAGGTTATAAGAAACAGTAAATTTTACCTAATTAAGTTTGACCTCAACCAGGAAGACAAAACAGTCAGTTATTTTATTAGAAAATCTTACTCTTGTCATTTAAGTTATCGTAATATACTCTGCTCTTATCTATAAAGAAAGATAGATTTATTATTTCAATTTTAGTCTACTGAACTTATCTCCAAGCTTCACGCTGCTCATCACGAAGGAAAGAAAAATGTGGGTCTTGATATAGAGGTAAGTTTTATTATAAAACTTCCATGTGTACAATCAGTTTATTATAATTTGGCAAAAAAACTAAGACAAAAATTAAATTCCATAGAATATCACAACAAACATTCATAACATCACAAAACAGTTGCTGCATGTGTAAATGCAACTGTCTGTGAAATAGTTTTTAATGTATTAGATTTAATCTTAAAATGATTTTATCGCTTAAAAATATTTTTTTCACACAAATTCTTGAAATGACTATACTTTTTTTTTCAAATTGGTAAAGCTTTTGCTAAAAATTTATTAGAACTAGCTTCTACAAATTCAAAACTCGGCAAGCAAGTCTTTTATAAGACTTTTTAAAAACCAATAAACTTTTTTAAGGGTATGTTGTCACCCATTTTTCAAGGCTGCATTAATAAATAATAGTTGTAATGAGAAATGTAATGTCATTTAACTGTATTTTTGTGTACTATGTTTGAATATATATATATATCCAATAAGCAGCATGCTTAGAGTGGCTTGTTTACTATATAAAATAGTTTAAAAACTACTTTAAGAAAGTAATAGCACTTTCATATGAGAATTAAACATCTTCTATATCTGGGCTCTGTCTCTCTAACTTCTTTATTATTATTATTGAGCCCTTCCTAAGACTGACAATTGTCACTATCATTGGTATGAATTACATCCACCTTAACCATAATCATTTGATTAACCATGATGATTGCTGTATTTGTATTAAAGAGATTGGTGAATTCTGAAGGGGATTAATCAAGTGATTGTAATCAAACCAGGCTTGAAGGCAAGGTAGCAGTTTTAAGATTCCTTGCTATGGGGATCTGCATAGATATTTTTATGAATGACTATAAAAGATGAAGCTGCAAAGACCGTAAGGTTGACCCTTTAATTTCCTTCAAATTGTTTTTATTGTTGAATAGTATGAGAAGCCCTGAAGTGGCTAAGTCTGGTACTAATCAATTACGTTTTAATAAAATGCATTGACAAAGAACTGCTGTGATATGTAAAAGTTATTGTATTTATTTGATAATAAACAGCTAATGAACAACATCAGTAAATGTATATAAATAAATAGAGATGCATGCTTCTGAAAAAAGAACAATGTTTTTGTGGTCTTCATATTTGTTTTCCATTGTGACTTTAGAGTGATAACAACTCTGTGAAAGATGCTGTGGCTGCTGGTATAACTGACCTGTATCTTACCAAATTCTGGGGGATTAAATATGCTCTCAATGCTGCCTGTACCATTCTTAGAGTGGATGAGGTAAGAAACAGTTTATACTGCATAGTATTCCAGAAAATTGAAAATTAAATAGCACTTAGTATATTTTCATCTAAACAACTTTCTGTGTTTCAATTATTCATTTAGATTTGTAGTTTGCTTTTGTGTACATATTGTTCATAACTTCAACTTTTTTATGTACATGTAAAGTAATATTTTATTTTGAAGCAGTAATACTTGTTTATCTTTCATCTCTGATAAATTTTTATATTTAAAAATATATTGTATTCACATGCATGTTCACAATTTATTCATCTTCAATGTATGTTTGGTAAAAAAAATTAGATAGGAAAATATGCCTACAAAATTAGAGGGTATTAGAAAATAGACTACAAGTGGAAAGGATTTCTCAGTGAAATTAAGAGTTACTTGAAAGAGTTTTATCCTAAGAATCTGTTGTTGTTTTTCATTTAGTTTGAACATGTTAGCAAATAAACTTAAACAGCTATTTTAAACCATATTATATGATTTACTGTTTTATATACAGATTATCATGGCAAAGCCTGCAGGTGGACCCAAACCAAAATCTGGAGGAGGAGACATGGATGAAGATTAAAGCTAATCCTCATTAGTCCTGAAGCCTATCTATTTCATTTTCTGTACCTTCATCATTTTGCATTTATTACTTACTATGTAACCTGTCCAATAATGGTAACTGCTATCAATGTATGCAACTCACATAATTAACTCACAAGTTATTGGGTGTTTTTATGATTTAAATAAATGCTACAGCTGACAAAACATAAGAAGGAATTGTGATTTATGACTTCAAAGGACTTTAGTTCATTTTAAGTTAAAATATATGTTGACTACATAAACACAATTTTGGTTGTATTGTTTATTTATTCTCTCAAGAACTTATCCATAAAGCACTTACATTTGGTGCTTTGATACTAATTGTGATATATTCTATAGACTTGTCTTTAAATTAATGTACATTATTAACTTGTTAAAAACATATTTGCAGTTTGAACAGTACATTAAAATTATAAAACCTTTCACTATCTGGTTGATTTATAGTTTATTATGTATATTATGAATTTGCTTAAATTTGGGAAAATTATCTCAATTTTTTTAAGCAGTCAAGTGGAGTGATTGCATTATTTTTTTTTAACAAGAAATCATAACAGAATTCAAATTTCTCCCATTTGTTCAATGTTTATTTTTAACAGAAAACCTGATTTTTTTGGGTAATCTCTAGAAAGAATTTGCCATCAATTGAGTTACTAGTCACCTGTAATATATCTGAACATCATGGCTACTTTCAGTCATTGTCAAAATGCACTGTTTAGATAAAATTCACATAGGATATAGCCTGAATCCTACAACTTTGGAAAGTGACTGCCATCATGCCTGTCCAAATGAAATTGTGAAGATAACAGTCTGTGCTGAATATATAAAGATTGTAAGATAATTTTTCTGTGTAGTTGATGAACAAAACGGTACTTTTTAATTCTGGTAACATTTTTAATGAGTGAAGATACAAGGATTCTGTCTGTCATAAGTGTTGAGTAATAACATTAAATTTAAAATTTTGGTTGTAGCTACTAACAATACTTTTTTAGGAAATAATAACCTCAAAGTATATCTTTTGATATCATTTGAACATTCCTTTTCTTAAAATACTTATTTTTATGTATTTCTGATGAGGTTTCAGCTTCGTAAAGGAAACGATACATCTACATACAAATTTTAATGAAGTGATATATTTTATAAATTGCACCAATAAATTTTTTATTTAATTTTTATTAGTCTACAGCATAACTCAAATCGACCATAAATTTATGAGATGTTGAAAATATACTGGCATCTATATCTCAAAATCAGGTTTTTGCACACGTGCTTGTGTGCAGCACATGTATCATGTTATGTAGACAGTAACTGTGTTGATCTATTTGCTTGTGTTTGCATCGCTGCTGTAAGACCCATGATTAGTGAAAATTTTCCAAAAATTGCAAGGCCTAATAATGTATTGGACATCCAGTGGTACCAAACTAAATGTGGACTACCATGTACGGCATTAGTCTAAAAGCAATTGTATTTACTCTAGCCTAGATCTATTTATTTGTACCAAAGAAATATTTACAACATTCTATGAATGCAGCTAAAACTGGCTTTACATATCAAAACAATAATAGCAAAATTATAAGTATGCATACTAATACACATATATTATAATAACAATAGGGATTCTTAATGAATAACAATACTTAATAAAGTCTCAAAAGAAATTTATAAATATTGATTAATAAATTCTACCAAGTTTTAAAACAAATCAACAGCATCATATAATAATTTAATACATTGAAACACCAATATACAAGAATGAAATGAACATTATTTGTATTGTGAACTTAATTCTTATTTCCATCCCTCTGCAGGTTTGCAAAATGCCAGGATAGTGTAGTTTTAAAACAAGGTGGTTTTCAAATCAAAACTACTTGGTTAGAAAGGGATTGATACCCTAGAAAAGCAAAATGTGCCATGCCAAAGTTCATATGACATCATCAACAATATAGGAGAAACATCTATGCACAGTCATATGACAAGCAAAAAACATGAAGGCAATATCAAGCAATAATATGCACTTTTCAAACCATCTGAACAGGAACCAACCATCTAAAAACAACCAAACTGCAACTGCCACTAGTTCAACTTCCAGCATCTAGTAATTTGTCTCTTCTACTGATGTTTTAAGATCAGAAGTTTTATGGACTTCGAGAACTATTGAATGTCATGGCTCATTTCATTCAAACGAAAGGATCACAGAGCTTTTCAAGAGTATGATTTCTGACAGTGAAATTACCCAAAAGTTTTCATAGGGTAAGATAAAACATCATACTTAGCCATATGTGGCTTAGCTCCATATTGAAGCAGAAAAACCCAAAAGTCTGGTGGGTATTTATTTCTTTTGTTTCATAAGAACTTGAATAAATCCCTCAAGATGAAATAGTGTGACATTCATGCCTGCTTGGGAGATGAAGAAACTGTCAACACAGAATACATAAAAGCAGAGTTCTTAGGACATTTTAGTGCCACTGATTTATGACAACCTGTACCCTGTCGTCATAGGCCTTGTTTCTGATCATTTATTTCATATATCCATGGATGGCCCCAGTTGGAAATTACATGAAATTTTATCACCAGAATCTAATAAACTCAATCCAGAAAGACTCATGCTGCAAGTTGAATATTGTGGTTTACACACAGTTCACAATGCTTTTAGAGACAGATGTAAAGCAACTAACTGGAAACTCTGGCAAATTTCTACTATTTTTTCCAAGGATTCTCCAGTAAGAGCTGATGGCTACAAAAGTGAAAAATGGATGTTCAGATCTTCCATTTAAGTTTAGTAAGCATCGATGGCTAGAGAACATCAGTGTTGTAGAAAAGTACTTATTCCTTCTACCTCATCTTAATACTTGTGGGTATCCAGAAACACCCAGAAAAATTGGAGTATTTGTGAAGCTTTTAATTCATATCTCTTTGTCACCAAAGCACAGTTTTGTTGTTTTTTCTCTCAGTTACTAGAGAAATTGAACCCTTTCTCAAATAATTCCAGAATGATAAACTGATGTTGTCCTTTATGGCTGCAGATCTCTTTGTTCTTGTCATGGGATTGTTAAGATGTCACTTCAGAACAAATGGAAAATATAACTGAATTAAAATATATTGTAAGACTGGATTTGACAGACAAAAGAATTTTAATGGAGCCTTCCAGAATTTATATTGGTTTTGTTACAAGGAAATTAATGATTTAAAGAGGGCTTCAAATCTAGTAATAAAGACTTGCTAGGCTTTAGACTTGAATGCAGACAGTTCCTGAGACTGTTGTGAAAATTATTCAAATGTACCTCTTGACTTATTGCTTGGTAATGAACATGAGCTGACTGAATCTGGATGTGATGTTAAATGCATCACCCAGTACAGTTATGTTTCATCTTGTCTTAAAAGTTTGATAAATGTAGGCAGAATGGAAGAAAGGGACTGTGACACTATTTTCAGGCAGTACAAAAGTTTCTCATGACGTCCCTGCAAACGCCTGATTCAAGAGTTCATACGCTTCAGAGAGAGGACAGACTAGATACTCTATATTTTCATCTCCTGTTAAACAAGAAACAATTTTAGATACTTTGGTGAGTTTCTAAAATTCCCTGTCACCTGGACAGGCTTGTGTCGAAATGGACATTTCTGTAAATAAAGAAGCTATTACAGAAAATCAACAAATAATTGAAGAGACGTGCTGGGGGGTATCCTGAATGTCATTATAACTACGAAAATGTTTACCTTTGTTGGAAGTGCAAGATAAAGGCACAGGATGTACTTAGAAGAGGAAAAGTCCAGAAAGGTGACAAGAGAAATGTTGAAGACGTTAAACTGTAACTGGAAGATCTCAAGTATAAGAAGACCAAACTTGAGTCTCATATTAAGCAGCTTCTTTCATAACCTGGTGAAAACTTTGAGAAAGCTGAAAAGGAAAGAATCTTTTGCCTCCTCACAAGTGGCCAGTTCCCGAGGAAAGCTGTAAGAGAGAAGAAAAAATCCTTGAAGGCTTTCACAGTGAAGATTGAACATAAACTGTCCAATAAAAACAGTGAAGCACTTCCACTTTTTTATTTTCAAATAATTCAGTTAAATTTGAACACTGCTAGATTAGAAGGGAAAAAACATTGCTGTCTTTTCAACATGTAAAACATTATTTACATTTGAAAATTTATACGTCCAAGTGCAGTTTCTTGTGTAATCCACATAAAATGATCCTTGAATTTCTAAAAATAGTAATAGGTGCAGAACCATGCATGCGTCCGTACTCGCTTATGTGTTAAAAGTTTTGGAAACTTCCGGTCAATGTAAAATGTTTGCCTGTATAAATTAAAAAGAAAAAAAAAACGTTTAGTATGTTTCATGTTCCCAAATTGTATATTTACAAGTGACAGTTACCTCCATTTTTCTGCAGTAATAATATATTTTTATTATTATTATTATTCTAAACTTTCTTTACAGAGATAGTAGTACAAAACAGCTGGATTTGTTTATTTTGAGTCTTTTTTTTTTTTTTTAGAAGAGGCAGATCTTACCAAAATGCATGATTTTGGTCAATTACTCGGCCATATTTTGACCAATATATATATATAGGATTTGGTCAAAGACACTTTTCTATCGGTCCCACGGATTGACAACAGAAATGGTGGACTTTCCCATTTTTATCAATTGTAGGGAGTCAAGATGCTACAAGAAGGATAATTTGGGGGGGGGGTTCACACTTACTCTGCCGTATTTCGGCCAATTTACATGTGATTTGGTACGAAGATACTTTTTATAGGTCATACACGTTGAAAAATGTGAGGTATGACTGTTTTAAGGGGTTGAAAGGTTAAATAAACCAATAATTTTAGGAGTTTTGGTCAATTATCCTTGTTTCGACCAATTTGCATGGAATTTGGTACAAAGATATTCTTTGCAAGTTACAAACAGAGACATAGACAATTTTTGTCTTTTTTTCAATTTTTTTTTTAGCGATGAGAGTATAATTTGGAGTTTTCGTGAACTATTCATGTGTATTTCAACCAACTCGGATGGTATTTGGTACAAAGACACTTTCTTCCATCTCCAATGTCGTGATATAGACACTTTTCAATTTTTCTGGTGTCAGAACTGGCCATTTTGGAACTGTATGGCAGAGACATGTTGCATTCTCCTACGAATGTTGGCCTCTTAAATAATAATTTAAATTGTTCTACAAGTAATGTTACATACAATTGTCTTGACATATTTTATTTTTAATTACAATGTTTTTAAAAAAGCAAGTTAATTTTAGGCAAAACGTTTAACGAATTATGTACTTTTTATTTATTTTCTGCAGAACATATTGGAGTATATAGAAATAAACGACCGATCTATTAACCCCAAATTTAGTGAGTTTTTATTTAAACACCATTTGGCTTTACAACTTCTTCAGGAGCCCTCGTCTAACAAACTTTAATTGACAGTACAAAGCTTCAATCGGTTTATTTAAGAAATTCTAATAAATTATATTTTACAATGAATGTTTGAGAAAAGCACAGTTGCAGAGATACTTTTTTTTTTTTATCTAATCGTGGCCAAGTAATTTCAGGCATGAATCCACTCTTCTCAGTACAAATCCTTATTAAAACCATTGCTAGAATATGTAAAGAAGCTCTTTTTTTCATCCAACAACTACGTCCACAAATGAACAGAAACAAAATATTTCAAGTACATGTATTTTTAATGGGAAGTTTGGTTATTGTGTAGAATAATTTAAGTTTTCAACAATATGCATTAATACTTAAAATATTAATTTCACGCTGTTGAAACTCTTGCTATAGAATAAATTAAATTTCTTGTATAATAGAAGTTTATGAAAATGAAGAATCGAGAAAGTTCGTATAACATGTATAAACGGTACGATATCAGAGGTAAGTTAGTATCAGAGAATTCATAATCACACATGGTAAGGCCTTTAAGAATGTTTATGATAGGCTAAGGGAGATTCTAGATCTGTTGAAGAAAGAGAACCTTAAGTTGAATCTTAAGAAGTGTGAATTGTTCCATCAATAGATGAGTTTCCTGAGAACACATAGTCAGCAATAAGAGTATCTACAGACCCAGCTAAAGTTAAATACATTCAGAATTAGCAAACACCAAAGAACATACATTAAATAAAAGGATTTCTTGGACAGTGCTCTTGTTATCGTCATTTTATGCAATCATTCTCTGGTAGAGCTCGTCCTCTACACAAATTACTTAAAAGAATAAGTTTTGTTAGAATTATCATTGTGAACATGCATATTCAACAAACTAAAGATAGAATTTACCAGTGCTCTTGTACTAGCATGCTAAACTCTTTGAATATCCACTTATTTTAGATACAGATGCCAGTGTTTTTGAAGTGGGAGCAGTGTTATCACAAGTACTGCATAAAAAAGAACGTGGTTGTGTATTATAATAAGGAAAGAGCTACTAAGTGTTGTTTAAGTTCTACGCTATTCCCATCATTGGTAAATTTTTGCATTCCAAAAGGGCAAATAGTAAGATGACGTCAGAAACATCGGGAGTATAACTTGAACATTGTGCACCACCTTAGAAGGAACAATGGAAGTACTGACACATTATTCCAAAGACCATGTGTTAATGAAGAACGTAAACACTGTGAAAAGAGGGAAGCACAAGACATAAAAGACGACTTACCTAAACTACAAAATATTATAATCCAAGATGTGACATTCACAAATGTTGTCCAAAACTCAACTGAAAGATGGGCAGGCAAAAGATGCGCATTTGAAACAATTTATTCTTATGGCAAACTGTCACTCTACACAGCTTGGCATACTGGGCACAGTAGGATTCACTTTGTCTGTAAGAGGGCTTTTAATGGGAAGATACCAGTGGACAGAAACAATGACTACAGTTGGTACTTCCACATCTCTACATTCTATAACATTCCACCAACTCTACAATCTTCAAACAGGTGGACAGATATACATTAAGAAGACATTGGAGAGAGAAGTTCCCTTTGGTTGAGTGTAGTGGATCTGTATAAAATTGATGTAAATCATTTGAACTGTGTTTTGAATGAAAAGGTTCACAAAGAAAATAACATGGGCTGCTAAAGCAGTATTTTGTTGGAGCACCACTTGAGAGAGTTGCTGTGTATGAGCTTGGTTCCCATGCCTCAAAATCACAGTTCAAATAAATACAGCGTGGTTGTGATGGACTACTTCATCCAATAGCCAGAAGCATGTGCTGTTCCTAATCAGGAAGTAGGAATTATAGCAAGGAAACCCATCAATAGATTCGTTTTAAGATTTGGGGAACCTATGGAACATCATTCAGATAATGCATGAAACTTTGAATCAGCCAAGTTTGTAGAACTGTATCAAATCCTTGGAATCAAAAAAGGCTAGGACAACGGCCCTTCATCCATCTTCTGATAGTGAAGAGATACAACCATACTCTTTTAAGCCAATTAGCCATTTATGTCTATGAACACCAGACAACGTAGGATAACGATCTTCTACTGTTATGGGTTATCAAACTGTAATACATGAAGTTACAAGTAATACATTATTGTCACTGATATTTGGGAGATAAAATGCCAGTAGACCTTCTGTATACACATCTGGAAGACTGTCACTCAGCAAAATCTTACATAGAATGTGCAGAGAGACTACAGAACCCCATAGATGTCATTCATGACTTTACATGAGAAATACTTAAATCAAATAGTGATGAAATTAAAAGTTATAATGTTAATGCTGATAAGACTGTATCCCATCAAGGTAACAAAGTGTGACTCTACAATCCCAGCCACAAGAAATGATGAACTCCAACGTTGAGCAGGTGTTTGGAAGGAACATATGTTAGAGTGAAAAAAAAATCAATGATGTGGTTTACAAAATCCAGAAGGACAGGTGGTCCAAGCCAAAGGTTATCCATCACAATCGTCTTTGGAAGTATGTGTTGAGAATAATGGCTAACTGAGTAATTTCAAAAAAGCATTTGCTTGTAAAAAGTAAACTTGTTGAATAACCCTGTGTCCCTGACGAGACCACTTCCAAAGGATCACAAAGAATAGAACTTCCAGTGGATTCGCTCAATCACCTATCCAGGGAGGACCCCCCTTCTAGTAACAAGACAGCAAAAGACAACAAAGGACAAGAGGTCATCCCATCTGTATACCATAAATCCCAGAAAAGAAAAAACATAAAAAAAGACTTTATAAATGGACAGTTTTATTTATGTATTAGGATCGTTCAAGGGACTTCACAATAGAGGAAGAGGCAATATTGTAAGTTAAAATTTTCATTTTTTAAATCAACTGTTTGCTATAAGACGCATGATGTTAAGATCTGGAAATTTTATGATAGTTACGAATCGAGAAGGCTCATGAAATAAGTAGAAACAGTTGTACGATATTAATATGAGTAAAGAGTGATGAGGCAGTTCAATGTTAGAAAAATTATTTGGTTTTATTAGTGAGATGTGACTGTGTTCATTCTGCTATTCAGTTACACGGTGAGTCATGTTTCTGTTTATCAAAGCTAATTAAGCTACACATACGTCTCGCATTTTATATTAAATCATTGAATTAGAACTTAGACCAACATTTAGTTGCGGAGTTTACGTTGAATAGTTTATTTATTAAATTAAGCCTAAAAGTGAAGAATAAATTATTCTTTATCGTTGTGGGGATTGGACTTGGCATTATTTTTAACAACTGATCATAAAGAACTTGCCCAGTGATAGAACACAACATTATAATTGCTTTTTATTATTTTTGCTCTTGTATTTAGCTACCTGTAAGAGATATAATGGTCTCTATGTTCATTTATTTCATAACTGTCTAATATTTTGCAAATATTATCGAATGTAATGTGCTCTCTATCCTATTATGCTTTCACATGATCGCAAATTTCAACAATTGGTGTAACCCTAGAGTTAACATCTTTCAAACTCAACCAACATCTACTTTATAGAGAGCGCTATGTACAAAGCGCGGGTTGAAAAAAGTGTGTAAAATTGAGTTCCCAACGAGATTAGTTAATCGTTTGTTCTGATTTTAGGGAGGTAAGAGAAAGTATTATGTTACGTATGATGTATTTGATAATAATAATAGAAAAGATTGATGAAATAGTTTAGTTACAGTTAAGTACACATATTTGTAATGCTTAAAATAGATTCAAATACTTTATGTAATAAGCTAATAATATTCTTTTTATTAATGATGTATTTGAACTTAATTATTTATAATTAATTAAAGCACAAATGAAAATTAAACTGAATTTGTAATAGTATTGCTAAGACAAAAAAAATCATTCTTACTTGTTTTCCTCAGTTCAATGTTTTGCAAACAGACTGTTACAGGTATCTGATGGTCAGTTATGACTTTGAAAAGCAAATTGATTGGTAATTCAGCCTTCACTGTATTACTGTTATAACATTCTTGTCTCACTTATCACTTGGACGTGGATCACAGGGTTTCAAGTATTCCAAATTGTTCTTGAGCCAGAGTTAGATCTCGTAAAGACATCTTGATGTTTCAGTTTATAAAAAGACCTGGGATAAATGAAAGTCTTACAATCACAGCAACTTAGCAAACTGTTACTGATTGGCTACAAGTGTTTCAAAGTGCTATTAGAAGAGCTTGGAACCACTTCAGATCTAGTGGTACAGTTGCTGTGATATCTAGACAAAATTGACCATTATTTACAAAACAGATTTGAGACAGCTATTGGAAATAAGATTTCAGAAGACTGATCTATATGCCAGATATTCAGTGAGGTGCATTCCAATCATAAAAAAGTATAAAATGCCTCTCTTGCAGTTGTAACAAGAGCACATCACTTTTGGAATATAAATGTGATGTGGATGGTGTGGTCAGGAATAAGCATCTGCAGTTGTGCCAACCTTTGAATTTTGAAAAATGATACCATTAATTCTTCAAGTTATGGAGACCGTATCCAAGACTCTTTGTTCTGTCATATGCTGGTGCAATTAATCCTGACATCAGCTTAATGAAAAGTATATACTGCTTATCTCCTCTTTGTTAAGCTGGTCAAAGCACTTGTGATTTGTGATCGAGATACACCCTATGAAAAACTGTTGCTTATAGTAAAGCAAATATAATTTTATGGTGTATTTGTAGACATATTTATTGAAAGTCAAAAGAGGTAATTATTTCTGTACAAATCTTTACTTGGTATGCTATGTACAGTTTTGATGTCCTGTTTGAGAAAGGATATTGATTTGTTGGAGAGGGTTCAGGTGAGGGATACTAAGATGATTCCAGAAATGGTAGGGTTGTATAATAGGGAAAATAAAAATAATTCTCTTTTTTTTTCTTTTTTAAAAGAAAGGTAAGAGGTGCTCTTATTAAAGTATACAAGATTATCTGGGGAGCTCAAAAGGATGAATGTCTGTAATTCTGAAAGCAATAGAATGAGAGGATAGAAACTTAAGATTTGGAAAAGACAAGCTAGGTTCCAGTTAAGACATTTCTTCTGACATGTTAATTATTTAGCTTATGGAATTACCATCACCAGTAGTGGAGATGGACACCTTACAAAAGTTTAAGAGAGGAATCACTGATTTTAAAAATAAAGGATGGGTTTCATTTTTCTTTGTCTGTCTTGGAGGTAGGTGTACAAAGACAACACTGAAGGACCAAGTGGCCTCTTGTTGTGTATATATATTATCCACAGAAATGCTGAGTACATGTTAAAGGTAGGCATCAGTTAACTCTGTAAGGAGCTCTTTGGACCTCATTTGGAATAGTATGTTTAGCTTTGATTACCTAATTAAAGGAAACAATGTTTAAATTATTCCAGGTTTGGAGGAATTATCATGTTGGGATAGGTTGAAATCTCAACATATTTTTGCTGGAATGAAGGGTATATTGGGACATGATTGAGAGTTTTAAGATTGTTACTGCTAGATATTTTAAATCTATAAATCTAAATTATGTTTTCTTTAAATGAAATGTCATGGGCAGTAAAAAAAGGGAATGTTTAATACATAAGAAAACTTTTACAACTGAAATTAAGGAAATGTTACTTTTCTAATAGTGTGGTCTGCATATGGATTAGTTTGCCTTCAGCTGTAGTAGAAGGAACAGCATTAAAGAAACTTAAAAGGGGATTGGATGCATATTTTAGAAATCAGGGTTAGGTATTAAAAGTTTATATACATAGTTTGGAGTATGATGGTAGTAGAAAAAAAGGATAGTCCAAATGGTCCCTTGTTCAGTATCTAAGCTATTGTGAATGAGACAAGGTGAGTGTGGCACATTACATACTCTAAAAAACGTTTGTTAATGAACCCATGGTTTTAAAAAGTTGGGTTAATGAATTTGTATTTCTTTAAAATTCCTCAGTTGTTTGTTTTTAATGCAGCATTAGTAATACATGAAATTAGCTAAAAAAATGCATTTAAGTTGTTGAAGTAATATAATGTATTTAATCTATAGTTTATAGTTGTTTATCTGAAGAAGGATACCCAAATACTGAACCAATGGCAAGAAAAGGTAGTACTGCAAGAAAGGCTAAAAGCAAGGTTACACATGTTGAAAAAACTCAGTCAAGTGAACAAAACACTACCAGTAACACAAGGAAAAGGAAACGAAATGAAAGTAGTGATGTAGAAGTTTCAGAATCTAAGTATAACAAATCTGACAAAAGCCTGAAGGAAGAAGCTACTGCAGCTGAGTCCTCTTCTGCCACACCTGCAGAAAAAAATGCATTTTATAGAATATCTTCATGGAATGTAAATGGTGTCAGGGCATGGTTGGATGTACATGCAACATTTGATTTACTAAAGTTAACTTTTCTTAAAAGAAAAGATTGTTATATAATAAATTTATTGGATAGACCACATTGAGTCATAGGGTTTTCCACACTTACTACTGTTTTTTTTTATACTGTAAAAATGTGTAGATTTAAAAAAATGTATGATACTTGTTTTGCTTCTCACTTTAAAAGTATTGTGTTCTGTGTAAATGTGTGTAATTAGGAAGAGTGACATATGTTAGCATTCCACATCTTTTAGCTAAACACATAACCAAAGAAAGTTGTTAGAATGTTGAATTGTAAATATCTGTTTAGAATATCTTTACATTTAAGAACAATATTATACATATGGGGATAATTTTTTGTAGGTTTTGGATGGAACTCCTTGTGGTTGTCACAAGTATTTTGCTTGAAACCAAAAATACATTAAATAAGGCAAATTGAACACCAAGATAAAATATCTAAAAATTTGATTTAATAAAACTGAATATTTTCACATTTCACTCTGTAGTATTGTATGCTTTTGCTGTATTTTTAAATTCCATTTTTAATTGTATTTATGCTCCTAAATGTGTAATAATTATATGTATAAAATAAACACTGCTTACAGCAAGTTCCAAATTTGCAAGCATTTAGAAACCTGGGTGAAAAGGTCAAGGCATATGCTCATTTAAACTGTATGAATTTCCTAAATATTAAATAAAACAAATCTGAAGATCATTCTTCAATTTTACTTAAATGTTAGCAACAATAATAAAAATTGTGTTTCATGTATACATTTAACTTGTAGCACAATGTGTCGTAACAAGTTTATTTATATTACTATGTAATCTCATTTTTGTCATATTATAAACATAAATAATTTGTTGTAAAGTCCTGATTTTAATATTTAAAATAATAATTAACTCTGTGCATGGGTGGGGGTCAAATTGTGCATGCCACAATCTTTTACAGAGTGTTATTCAGCATGATGTATTTGATGTCAGAGTTACCAACTATTCATTTTACCCTGCACTACTGATTTAACAACAGTTCATAGTAGAGGAAAGTAAATACCAGATACAGTGTACAGGGATACTGAAAAAACTGTAGATGTGCATTTTGGAAGTTGTAAAGGTTGTGCAAATTGTACAATGAACAAAAATATTTTTATTCTTTACATGAACATCACCTTACACTCTGACTGGTCTTAGTCAGTTAACATCATCAATTCACAGACATATCTTGAGTAAAAATACATTTATAACACATCTAATTTTAGTGTACAACAGATTTGTACATTTTCCTAGATACACGTAGTAAATTTGGAATTATAGTCAACATCTCAAATACAGGGTTGATCTAATGAACTGAACCTGTGCACCTTCGGTTAAACATGCACTAGAAGATCAAAGTATTAGCAATTGTTTTAGAGAGATTAAGCAGTATTGAAAGTAGTGAAAAATAAATTTTGGTGAGATAAATGCAACCTAAATGATGAAGATATTGATCAGGATTTCATAAACTTATCCCAGTTCCTTTCACCAGACTTCAAACCTATGACCCCATCTCTGTTATATTTATAATATAAGAAACTAAAATATTTAACAGTTATTTCTGTATATTGCAAAAATGTAAATTATTAATATTTGATCTCAACAGTTTGCGATGTGCCAAGCAGACAATTCAGTGTTAGTAAACAGTTTTTTCATCTACTTCCAGTTAAAATGCCATCAGCTACTGAGCTTAATGAGAATGGGTTATGCATAATTGGATTTCAGAACTACTGTTCTAAATTGCATCTGGGAGATTTTATGATTTTTTTAACTGTTGGTTAAGAAATTTAAAACTAACATGGCCCCTTTCCTTGTACATGTTCAGGAATTTTAACTGTAGTTAAGCCTGTGATGAGGAAACCAAAACTGTACATCACAGTGTAACTTTTACCATAACACAGGCATCGGTTGGGGATTTCAGTAGTGTATAAATATATTGTTACATACTGTGTAATTGTATTTTAATTTTGGTGTAATGATTTTAAAGTGAATCATATGTAATTTCCATTCCATATAGTAAATTGAAAACACAGAATAAGAATACTTAGTACCCAATAAACATACCTGATGGTATTGCTGAAAAAGATGCCAGCTGACAACTTTTTTCCAGTGGGCTGTTCTCAGTTATCTTAAATAATACAGAGATGTGGAGAGAAAAATATAGCTTGTGCATTGAAGTTATGTGTAGGCAAAAATCGTAATGCATAAATCATGTTGAATTAAATCCACTTTCAGGCATATTACTTACCAAAATTGTATCTCTGATAATGAAGTCTTATTATTTTAGGATAAAATTTTAGTATAATTTATTATTATCATTATGATAATTTTTTTAATACTTTGTCATATGAGCAAATTGGGTAACATTTTGTGCTAGGGGTAGGATCACCAAAAATCAATCTTGGAATTGAATTGCAGAAATGATACTAAACAAAATAATACTAATGATAAAAATTTCAGTTTTTTTTTTATATGGCTACATAAAGATTGATATGTTAATGATTGTTAGCTATATATATAAGGAAGGTTAGATAACTAGCACTGCAATTGTAAACAATCTCATTCAGAATGCATTTACGAGATACTGGTCAAGCTAAAATATCGAGAAGTGTATTGGGTTCTGATATTTATTTTGGACAAGTGGAGCTAATGAAACCTTTCACTGGACAGAATGCAGCTGAACTTTTGATTGTACTTGGATTATATTTGTTTAACTTGTTACTGAATATGATTTGTTTGGTTTATCTGCTATCTTTTACACTTTGTTTTGCTATATTAAGCAGTAATTGTTAAGAAAGTAATTGTAAGAAAGATCATATTTTCTTTAGTATTGAAACACTGAAGGTAATTATATGACCTGTTATATCAATAGAATTAAAGGATTCACTTTCACATGATTTTTGACTGGGGAAATATCTGATAAAAGAAGAATCTATTCTGAAAATATCTCTGTCATATACATTTTTGCATTCTTTTGTGATGTATTTGCTTTCTTTGTGCTCATCACTGTCTTCATTTAAGACCAAAATGCCATTATCAATAAAATCTATATCATCATTTTCATCTTCATTATTGATATTCACAATATTTTTGTAATTCTACTATGGTCATTTTCTTCTACCATTTGTTGCATTATTAGCACTTGACAGTACACTTTTTGGGTGCTTTCTCTCCCATCTCCAAGTCAATTTAGAAAGATTGATAATCCATCAACTTTACAACCACAATGAGACCGTGTTAAACATTTTGAACATCTAGGCCCTTTACATTTGAAAGATAAAGATTTAATTTTGAACTAGAATAGCACATTTTGACACTTATTTAAGCAGTCATGGGCAATTTCAATCCATCAAATTGGAACAACCAGTGGTCCACTGAAGCTATAAATAGGTTAGCTCATAATCTTTTTGGCCAAAGATATTGCTCAAAAGAAAAACAAAAAACTAATTTTGCAATTGTGTAATGGGACTTTTTTTTTAAATCAACATGAGATTACCCACTTTACAGATATAGGTAGTGTTAAAATGTCAGGTAATTATATTTTTATACTTTTTTCTGTATTAAAAAGCAGCTGTTTTTGTATATATGTCATGAATACAAAAACAAGGCCACACATGCTTTATTGAACATAATAATATGTGTTTTCAGGTACAGTGCTGTGTCCAATTGATACCAATAGCATTTCACTGAAACATGCATGAGCAATGTAATATTGACTCATATGATAACTATTTTTCTATTTAAACATGTTAATAGATAAAGCTTAATGTATCGGTATATATATGTGTTTATCATAGAAAAAAGGTTTGGACTTCATAAAGCAGGAAAACCCAGATATCTTCTGTATTCAAGAAACAAAGTGTTCGGATGATAAGCTTCCTGCAAACGTAAAGAATGTAACAGGATATAAAACCTATCCTTTATCTGGTGACAAGGATGGATACTCCGGTGTATGCATGTTTTCCAAGAAACAACCAGTTAGTGTCAAATATGGTATTGGTAAGTAATTTTTGTTGTTCTATATTTTTAATAAAACAGTTTGAGTATTAATAAAGAATTGATCCAGGTATGTGGCTAATAATTAACTGGAATGTTATTTTGATCCGAGTAATTAGAACATTATCAGTTAACATCTGTTTGATATCCAGTGCTATAAGTCTCTTTTTACAGTAAATAAAAAAGTCAAATGATTGGCTTTCAGTTTTGTCTGAATTTTTGTATGATCTGTTACATGAGGTCATAAACATTATTGACACCAACTGGATTGTATTAAAGAATTGAAACAAACTAATTACTTCTAATAATAGTTACCTCTTCCAGTGGCTCAGTGGACTTATAATGTTAAAAATCAAGTTTCAATACTCAAGGTAGGCAGAGCACAAATAGCCCATTGTGTAGCTTTATGTTTTACGACAAACACATCTAATAATAGTTTTATATCTACATTATTATTTGTTAATTTGATACTCCATATACAGTAAAGATACAGTTTGAAATTCACTAGTGAAAAGCGAAATGAAATTCAAATCCTCATAGAAAAGAATGCACATAAGTAAACACTAATTTCATTTGAATATTTGTAGAAGTAAATAAATGACAGTAGGCTTAGAGTTATAATTGGTGTTTGGTTAAAACTTGATTTCAAATGAGTGTTTTCAAACTAATTATTCGAGAAATGAGTAAAAATGGAATTGTTTATGTCCTAAAATATTCATTTCAGTCAGAAAATATCTCGGAATTTCATAATTTCTGTTAGCAATTTAGTGTATGCAGTTTAGCTAGCATAAAATAATTATATTGCATGATTGAAAAATAACTTATAACATTAGACTTAATATATAAAACAACAGATTACATTTATTCTTGTAAAACTTAAGTTTTTGGTAGACGTTTAAAAACTAATATTTTTTTGGTAATTTCTTTTGAGTTAATAATAAAATATTTTGTTTCTTTGTTCTCTCTTCAAAAGTATCCATCTGAAAAATGATTTTTAATAAGATATGAAATATAGTTGAGATATATTTTACTGTTTTTTCAAAATTTTGGGTTTGGTTATGTTTTTAATGCGTTTGTACAGTTAAATTTTAAAGTACCAATAAAAAATGTTGTTCAGCTTATACTTGTTATTGTTTATGGATCACCTGCTATATTTTAATAACAAAAAAAAGTCATTTATCATCACTTCTATTAAATCTGATTCTAATATTCACTGTTTTTACTGTACTAAAATGTTAAATCCACAGGGAACAATAAGTTGAAAATATATAAAAAAAAATTTATTTCCCTCTCGACAAAATAGCTTGATTTTTTTATACCATGCTATAGAAATGTTTATTCTGTTTGAAAGTTTTTTTCATTAATGTTGATGAAATTAATAAGCACATTGTTTTTAATTCATAAACATTTTTAGGTCCAGTCATTTCATTACAGAATTAAAATTAACCATATCTAATTGATTCCCATTTATCTATTTTTCAACAATAAGGGACAGAACATATTTAATCTACTTCAAGTAAAACATTTGAGAAGTAATTTTTAGAATGTATAACTGTAAAATGCTTCCAGCATTTTAAGTTTCTATGAGTTATCTATTCTTGGAGATACGTTGTACACCAAGTCCTAAATGGTAAGGTGTAGTAAATGAGGCAAACTTAATTAAAAATACTATATCTTTGAAATTTATTAAATCTCACTACTGTGTTAATATAAATATTGCTATTGTCTTTCTGTTTTGTCAAAATGATAGCCTAAACCTGCAATTCAACCTAATTATTGTTGTTTTTGATAGCATTGTATGAATCATTGAAAACAGACATTATGAATTATCATATGTACTTGATACTAAAGTTGTTGAAAAGAGAAAGGTAGTTGATAAAAAATTGTTAAAAAGGTCTATTCTGTATCCATATTGTATGTATTAAAACTGATTAAGTTGAAGATGATATCAAAGGTTAACATTACCACTATTTTATAGTTTGTTATTTGTGATGTTGTTTCAGGTATAGACAAACATGACAAGGAAGGCCGAGTCATAACTGCAGAGTATGATGAGTTTTTCTTAGTCGCTGCATGTAAGTTACAAACTTTAGTTAATCACTTGCATCCAGCTCACATCAAAAAGAAGTGTGAAATAAACTCCAGTGGTGTGTTATTTTTTTATTTAATAGTATTGGTATAAATAAGTACTGTAATTCAAAAAATATAGGTTCTGTTTTAGTCAAGGCTGCTCCAGAGGAATATAAAAACCACTGTTAGGGGTTTTATAAACTCTTTGGATCATGTAAAAAACAAGTTTAGGAGCTTCACATTAAAAAAATTAATTATTAGAGCAACAATCACTTTAAGTAATACTGTAGCCTCGTCACTTGATTGATGGGAAAACCGTTTATCTGTTTTTGGTATCGCTGACAAAAATACCACTAACAGTAAGTTTACCCAACTAATTAAATAATGCATTCTAATCATTCTAAGTAAAAACAATGTATTAAATTAAATATTAATGGGTTGATTTGTAGATCTGGACTGGAACATGTACATAACTTGCTTTCATCAGAAATTAATATTATTTAGAAAAGTAAAATAAAATTTCATTCTTATTATAAAAAGCTATAATAGTCATATTGCTTTTGTCAGAATTGTAATGCAATTTGTGCATAATTAAAAATGTATTTTTCTGTTTATTATAAAAACATTTACTGATAGAAATGTTAAGTTTCTAAAGATTTATTAAGATTTGGTAATGGATTTGTAATTAAAAGAATTTTAATTGTACTTTCTCTTGTTTTCAACATTTTTTGTTAATCTGCTTTGTGTACTTGTTTCTTAGTACTTGTGGTTGAATTTTTAATTAAAATAATGAACATCATATAACTGGCATATTCTAATAATAATTTTATCATATTTTTAGCTTTTTTTGTATCATATATAAGTTATAGCGTCATGCATTTTTTCAAATTTTGCAACTGAATAGCTAGGTTTATATGGATGGTTAAAACAAAAAGCCCACAGAGTTTTTATATTTAAGGTTGCATATTTTTGTCACGTGTTTAAGCATCTATAAAACTTTTTTTAAATGTATTTGACAGAAAAATTGAGAAATTTTTCTAAATCTGATAAATACTTAGTAGGTAAACATCAAGAAACATTTAAGTTTAACAATTTGATTGAAGTGAATAATTAAATAGTTAAAATGTCATTGTAGTGTTATATTTCATATCACTATGAAAGTGTCTTAGTTTATGGTAAAAAACATCCATTCATTTCTTGGTTTTGAGAAACTAACAATTTTATATTTAAAACAAAAAAATGTGCAACAAGTGTGAAATAGATCAGTGACATATTTTTTTGCTTTACATATAAAATCCATAATGCTCAGAAAATAATTATTATTTTATTTACTAACTTGATTTAAAATTTCTGCACTATTTTTTTATTTTTTGAGATTCTTGGAATGTCATGAACATACAAAAAAAACAGTACATAATTACTGAGTATTGAAAATTAAAAAACACAACCTTTTGTTTAATATGTGGTTAATGTGATAATTATATATACATAATAAGTATTTTGTTAATTAGAAATGTAATGCATCTAATGTACAAGGACAACAGTTTCCCAGCACTTATTTCAACGGTCTTGACCAGTACATCTTCATACGGAATAGCATGAATACTTATTTCATTCATCAACTGCTTGAATTATACAGTGGTTGAATGGACATGTCATTAAAGCAAATTGTGTGCACATGACTTGTTTTACTTTAACAGGAAAACTTATGTTTTTTCCTGTTAGAAAAATCTAAATTCCTAATCTGAACACATTTTTATGATTTGAGTATAAGAATATTTAATGCCAGAAAAAGTTGTTACATACCCTTTCCAAAAGTGATCAGTTTTCAGTGCCATCACACTGTCTACAAAATCCCAAACAATATCAGAAAGTAGTTCTGATACGTGTTGTTTCACCTTGAATTTATGTTGGATGTGGTTGTTATGTGACTAGATTTGCATATTCAAAATAATTGTAATACAACATATTCTGTATACGTAATTTGTTATATTGATAAAAATATGACAATTATGTAAACAAATTTATCCACCAGAAAAGAAAATAGACTAGTAAATAATTCAGGTGTGAGAATATTTAAGCAATGCTTCTGTAATTTTGTGTTTACTTTCCTGTTATACAAGTGTGATGTACTGTAGATGTGCCAAATGCTGGAAAAAAGTTAGTGAGACTGGACTACAGACAAGATTGGGACAAAGATTTTTGCAAGTATCTGAAAACTCTAGATGCTGTGAAGCCAGTCATTCTCTGTGGAGATCTAAATGTTGCACACCAAGAAATAGGTAAAGTCAGTACTGCCCATTAAAGATAGTATGGTTAGATAAGGTACATAGAGAAAAGAATGAATTTCTTTCCAAATAAATTTGTGTACAAAAATTCCTCATGAAAACCAAATGAAAATTCCAATTATATACTACTGCCAAAGACATCTGTAATATATGAACTACCAAGATTTAATGATAAAATAGTAATTTTGAAACTGAAAAAACATTCATATTAAAAGTACAAGTTTGGCTAGTTTTCTTTTCTAGTTATTTCTGAATTTATCTCCCATGAAACTGTAATAACACAATGCAATGAATGAATACCTCCTGATACCATAAAGATCTCATGCTGACTTTTGGTACAAAGAGAATGGTGTGAACTACAGTATCCAACCTTGATTTTGGTTATTCATATTGGGGCTGACAGTCTAGTTGAGGTCAATATTCTGAATGTTAGAAAAAAAATGGTATATTTGGATAGACCACAAAGATTTCAATCAATAGTTAATCAAATTTGTACTGTAGCATTAAAATAAAAATGCTATTGATGCTATTATGTTGCTGGTCTCATCTTGGAGCCATTTTGGGTCACATATTTGGTGACCTCTCACATCAAAATCATTTAACTTAAAGACATAAAACTTAGAAAAATTTTATAGCTTTGACACCAACATCCCTACCAAATAGCATCAAAATTCGTGAACCTTTGGTTTTGGGAATGATTGACCTGACATGGAATGATCCATCTGTGGTTTGTTCCTAAGTTTTCTAATCTTACAATTAGATTCCATTGTTTGCTGCAGGAGCTAGGTTGTCATTTTCCCATGAAACTTTTCATGCCACTTTACTCCTCTACATCAGTTAAATGGTATATAATCTGCTCTATCCAACAGTATTTAAACTTTGCCTGTAACTATTTTTAGAGTTCAGCTTCATTGGTAGTTGTTCATATGGTGTGAAGTCATAAAAGGGTGGGAATGACAGACTATTCTAATAAAGTCAGGGAAAGAAATTCACAAAAGAAACAAATCTTGAAATATATAATTCCTAAGGGATGGTACTTTATTAGCAACTATTAACCTATGTTTGGGATGATCACAAATTCTAAAATAAATACACATGCATTGTTTACAGGCAAGACTTTTCAGAGCTGTGCAGAAACTTAAGTTTGAACATTTTTTCATTTTTATTTGTGACTTATATTGAATAAATCTTGCAGAATAAGAGAATATTAATTCTAAAATATTTTTGAGTGAACAAAGTGGTTCAAATAGAGCTAGAATTATTATTTTTACTTAAATTTTGAAATCTCATATCCTTGTTGATTTGGATAGGTCGAATGTCTCAAAACTTTAAAGTGGATGTAAACATGATTGTTTATAGACTGCCCTTAATCACCCAGTTTGACTCTTCCATGAAGGCATAAAGAGAATGCAGTATGGTACCAAGTACACAAAAAAGATGTCTTGTATAAAATAATACTGTAAAGTAGGTAATACCACACATTCAGATGTGTGTAATCCATGCTGTGAAATCTGTGTTGCATCTATATGATGACACATATAGTTACACAGATTCTCAGTTATTACAGCTGAAATCCTTCTTGCATGTGCTCCCTTTCTCAGACTTTTCATTATGTCTGAACCAAAGCTGATGGCAGGATATGCTTCAAATTTTGTGCTAAACTTCTAAGGACATTCGATTAAAATGTCATTGCCTTTGTTTTAAATGTATAGTTCATGTATTCCTATGTTATTTGTCAATGAAAATATTTAATCATTTTGCAGAAGATACTGATGTGCAGAGTACTGTACGAGACACACATAATATAATATTTTAGGTGTAGAACATGCTGTATTTTTATATGTTCATAAAACATAATTGTATTGTGGTCTTCTTCATCAAATAACCTTCTGCATACAGGCTCGGTCATTTTAACAGACCTTACAAACACCATATAACCATGAAAATGTATTTACTATAACTCTGAAGTTACTAAGTGTATCTTCACTAAATTTGGCAAGCATTTAGTAAATCTTACTTGTAAACAAAACTCAGATTTGATAAGGAAATATTTTTACTTAAGATTTGTCTGTGAATTTATGAAGCCTTTACAGCTTCAGTCCGAGTGCAAGGTGATGTAAAGAATAAAAATACTTTTTGTATGTTACAGTTTATGTATTCCATTTGCATAACCACTAGAACCTCCCAATTGATTTTTTTTGTCAGTAAATCTTTATATTTTGTCAGTTATTTCCTCTACAGTAATGCTGTATACAGGCTTGGTCCATTTGACTGACCTTGTAACCACAAAATAAATCTAAATTACCCTTCTCTTCCTTTTAGAATGACTGTATATTGTGAAAGACAGTTGGAGTTATTTATCCTAAAATCTTTAGTTTTCTAACCTATTTACCTCTGCTTTCATTTAATTTTATTGCTCACTAGATCATTTCTGCCCTCTAAACTAGCATAACAAAGTATTGAATAACATCACAGATGAGCAGCTCATACACATTCCCCATGGAGAATTTTTTATTTAAGTTTTCTTTTGTATCCTAATAAGTTTCTAGTTTTTATGCTTTAGCTGCTTTTATAAAAATATAATTAAAAAAACAAATTTAGTAGTTATGTTAGGGTCTTGTACTTTTTTGAAGTTGAAGTCTTTATAAAAGTTAATCCTAATTTTTAGTAGGGTTGTTAATTTACTTAATTTTTATTTATTCTAACAATTCAATTTAGAATAAAATAACAAAGAATGCCACATTCTATAACAATTATAATTTAACTGGCTTTCTAATTAAGCTAAAGTGGTTTAACATAATTCCTTTGACTGGTCAAGATAACTTGGCAATGGCAAAGAATTAAACTTTAAACTGAATAATTCAAAACCTGTTGTAGAACACGCTAACCTTATATGGAATTCATTAAATTAGGATCTCTTTTTTATTGGTTAAAAATAATCCAATAGTGAACTTTAAAGAGAATTGTTGACATCTTTTGAAAGAAAACTATCTGGTTTATATCTCAGTAAGGCAAGAAGTTTGGAGACCATAAATTTAAACTGTTTCTGCTATATTTATAAGCTTGTAATCTGTAATAAAAGAAAGAATAAGTAAAATGGGAAATTTGAAATGAAGTTTCATGTTATACAGAGAAGCTAAGCTTGAGAATTTATTTACTTTTAAAATTAAGAAGTCAAAGCTTAGATGATATAAAAATTGGGATTATAAAACACGTTTTTCTATGCAAAGTTTATTGTGAACTAGTATACTTAAAATCTGAATGGTTTGGTGGTTATGGTATTTGTCTTGCAAGCTGTATGTCATGGGTTCAAATCCCTTTCAGCAGTGGGGGTATTATAATGAGATGGTCAATCCCCCTATTCATTGGTAAAAGAGTAGCCAAAGAGTTGATGGTGGGTGGTGCTGACAAGCTGCCTTCCTTCTAATCTATCATTGCTAAATTAGGGATGGCTAGCACAGCCTCTGAGTAGCTTTGCACGAAATTCAAACCTAACCAGACTTAAATTTTGATTGTAATTCTGTATTCAGGGTCATGATATACACACTTTTGATCTATCCATATCTACAAGGTTAATTTCGTAGTTAAGTAATACTTGGAATTAGTATTATTCATTAAAATGGATGCTTTTATTTGTTTGCATGATTAGATCAGTAAATAGACATTAGTAGAAGGATTTTAATTAATGTAGAACTATAATTCATGTATATTGTATTCTAGATCTTGCTAATCCAAAGACAAATAAGAAGAATGCAGGATTTACTCAAGAAGAAAGAGATGGATTCTCGTCTTTATTGAATGAAGGGTTTATTGACAGTTTCCGAACACTTTATCCAAATGCTAAAGGAGCCTATACTTTTTGGACATACATGATGAATGCTAGGGCAAAAAACGTAGGCTGGTAAGTAGGTTTCAGGAGGTGTTAATTGATTACAGTAAGGTTAACCAGTTGGGCCTATTTTTATACTTATGGGAGCTTTCTATTCCCAAACTAAAATTTTGTAAAAATTAAACCAATTGTAATTTTTTGTCATACTTTGGCAATAAAATCATTTGATAGTTAGACACAATGAATGGTGGTGCTTTTTAGTATGCAGTGTATTTAACCCTCTAACTACAGGTTTGGTAGATTATCCTGGCCTTGTGACCCCAAAGAAACCATCAGTTTCCATACTATAACTTTTAATGTTTTTTGTATCTTCACAAAATTGGGCAGGCTTTCAGTAAATGTTAGAAGTCTTTTGTATGCAAGAAATTTTTAATGAAGTATTTTAACAAAAAATTTGCCTGTGAATGTATGGAATTAGAGTGTTGACTGCTGTGAGTGCAAAGTGATTTTCATGTTAATTTTAAAAATACTTTTCTTCACCTGAAAATTGTCAAATTTATTTGCATAATCTTTAAAACCTCCTAAATATGTGTCAGATATTTTTCCAGTGAAGTTTTATATTTTACCTGTTATTTACTATACCCTAATTGTATATGCATTTGGTCAATTAGATCAACCTCATAACCACTATATAAAAAAAAACAGATCTAAATTACCATCTTTCTTTCTAGAATCACTGCAAATTGTAACAGGAAACTACAATTGTTTATGCTTAATTTTATTGCCCTTTGAACCATGCCCAACTAATAATCTCACTACATAAGTTGTAAATCACTCAGTGAACATGTTGCCCAAGTGAATTACATAATGCACAAGCTGCTTGCAAGCACATCTCATGAAGACTTTTTTTCTCTCCATTATCTTACGTAATCTAACCTCATAAGTTTCTGATTTTTACATTTTAGTGACTTTTATAATACTAACTAAAGCACATACATGAAAAACAAGAAATGTGTCACATACCCATGTCCTCATTATTTTGCTGTCAATTGTCAATGGAAGTTAAGCCTACTTTTTTATACCAATGGTACTAGTACACTAAATAATTATTCAATTAAATAATGCACCTAAAAACACAGAATAACAACATTCACAAAGCAAACAATGCCTTATAGTTATCATAATTTATGTGGTTTTCTATCTATGCAATTAGAGTCTTTAAGAATTTAACTAAGCTTGTTGATGTGGATACTGCGAGAAAAATTTCCAAACTGGAGGTGAAATAGATAATACTCTGTACAAAAAACAATGTAATATAACATTTTATTTGATAGATTAAAATTTTGGCTTTCTATTGGTTATAAATAATATAGTATAAAATTAAAAATTTGTGAAGGAGGGGATGTGATAGGTAGGTGAGGAAAGTGGATCTGTTTATCTAGTTTATGGTGTTATAAACAACATTGAAGGCCATAAAATTATGCTTTGCCATAGTGATATCTATATTATAATAAATAATTTAAATCAAATTCTGTACTTCCCAGAGGGGTGTTAAATAAGTTAGAGAAGAGGGAAGAAATGTCACAGTTCTCATACTACAGGATATTGAGGATTTTTTAAATATTTTGTTATAAAATCACGAACCTAAAATTTGATTTATTAACTATGTTTTGGTGTTTAGTTTATTTGTATACAATGATAAAGTAATTCAATTCAATTTTAAATGTAACTCTTAAAAAGTCATGACATGACACTTTGACCTACCTGTAGTGAGGGTTAATGAAAAGTTGATTTTATTAAAGCTTCCTTTACTTACAAAAAGTATTAATATATTTCTTTGCAGGAGACTGGATTACTTTGTATTGTCAAGTAGGCTCCGCTCTAAAATGTGTGATAGTATCATTCATAAAGATATCCTTGGAAGTGACCATTGCCCAATAACACTTACTATAGCTTTTTAAACAGTTGGATCAGATTGACAAGAGAGATGTTAAAGTACATAGAGGATGTCTAAATGCTTGCTTTTGCTGTAGTTGTGTGGCTTGTTCAGAAAACCATCAAAATAGTAGACGGAGATGGAAAATTTCATCACGATATAGAAACCATCAAAAACTGAGGCATCTATAAATTGATTATTAAAATTTCTTTTAATCATAAAAAAATACAAATTTCATATATTTTCAACCTTCTGTTGTAGGTTTTATCAATCGACTGTGAATGTGATTTTTTTTTCTTTTCTGGAAAATAAATGTTTTCAATTATTCTGTTTCATATTCCTATTTATAAAAACTAAAAAATACTTCAAAAATTAATTTTGCACCTTAAGAAATGTGTGTTTTTGAAGCTTCACAAAAACAAAGAAAAGCATAAAAATATACATTATTTTTAAAAAATGAGTGGAAGGAAACCATTAATTTTGAGCTTTAACCATACATACATTTTGTACAAATATTCAGTAATAAACAAATGTACAATATTAAATAGAAGATATGCATGGTGTGTGTCATAAGGTTGGACTGTGCAAACATATGTTCAATTGCTGTGGGGATAAAGAACTATTAAAGTCAATAAAACTGGGAAATAAATGCTTGTATGATAATCCTGGAAATAAGATAATTTAAAGCAAAGTGCAAGCTTACCTTGAAGAACTTCATTCTAATGCAATCATTGTAAATTATGTTTCATGACCTTAAATTAATGAGGTCAACATGTGATTATCATATGTACATTGATAATTCATTAAGTGATAAACCAGAAATTTGCTTTATATTTTATGTCACATTATTCTACAGTTTATTACAAAATTATGCAGATCTATAAACTAATACCATTATAACTACAGACACAAGAGTAAGTCATATATAACTTAAGGAAGCAATACTGTCAATTATAATCATAAACAGTTAAGAAACTGTTAAATTATTTAAATATAGATTTAAATAAGTCACTTATGATTAAACAGAAAATTTTCTAAAAACTTTTATGATTGTTGTTGGATAGATTTTTATGCCTGAGTGTGTGGTTTGTTTTTCTTACATTTCACTTTAATATAAAAGTTATAAATAGCCTTCCAAGATTGAAATTTCATCAAATTTTAAAAGTATATTTTTGCTTTAATCATCCTACTTGTTTGCATGAGAACTCACTAGTTTCTACCTTATGAGATCACCAAAAACAATTTGTTGTGCTACGTCAGTCCCCGTCTTCAAAAGTTTGTAAAAAAACTGAGTTTCAGCTATTAGAGTTGGACTGTTATCATTCAAAAGATGTTCAAAAAGCCTACCAAGCATTTCCTGTAGTTCTGCTGGTCTGTTGAGAAAGATCTTAACACAACATACCAATAATGTATGCTTGACAATAGTACTTTCTTCTAAACACTGTTCAATTAGTTCTTCCAGGACATAGGGTGTTTCCACATTAGCTTGATCATACATAGTTAGCAGGTTAAGAATGGCACACTTTCCTTCTGGAGAACTAACTACGTGCCTGTATGTAAACAAGGATGAAACAATATTCTGCTCGGTTCTTTGGTCTACCTGGAATTCTAATCCTGAAAGGTTCTGAAAAACTGTTTCCACCAAAGGTTTGATCTCTAGCTCAAGCAGTTGAAGAAAGAAATTTATTATTGGTGATGACATTGAAGGTTGAAAGTTGACAATTTGAGACAGACTATTAATTGCAGTTTTACTTATGACAGTTAAATGATTTGTGCAATACATTTTCAGTTCATCCACAATGTCTCTAATATTTGATGCAGTAGCTAGCATTGGAAGCATTGTGAGTTTCTTTAACTTCACAAACACTGGATCTGAAAACTTACAGAAGAAGCTACTTAGTCTTTGGGAAAATATTTCTAAATGTTCTTTCAAGTGCTTTTCAATGAACTCCAAACTAGCAAACACAAGTTCATGATTAGTAGATGCTAAATAAAAACAAAGCTTTGGTGTAACGTGCTCTATTACTTCTTGGGCAAGATGTGACAGTGAGGTCTTTAAGAGTGAGTTTAAGAAGTCTGTAACACCAAGGACAATGGCAGGATTTGAATGTTCTAGATGTTCATCAAGGCTATTGAGAAAGCTCAGCAGTTCTTCCTGACTTTCTGGATGACATTTTAGAAACAATCTGGTAACCCCTAAAATACTCCAGTCGTGAAACATTTCCAGTCTGTTTACTAGATAGCTTTTCATCTTTCTTGTGATAACTATGCCCCCTTCTGAGACGAGTATTCTGTCCAACACGGCCAGAGTATAAACTACTACGAGGGGATCTGTGTCTCTGATTAACATGTATAACTGGTCCAATGTTTCATGTTTCAAGGTTGCTAAACCAGGCTCTTTCAGTATCTGAACACAATTTACAACTGCCGTCCTGCGTACCTGAGGGCTTCTGTCCTGGAAGGCTTGTAAAAGAACATTGGGTATCTGTTCTTGAAAATAAGGAATATTCAATAAAGACTTAGTTCCAAGACTTCTCACCAGGGGATTTGAATCACTTAAGTCTTTTAGAATTGTGTTAGATGCTAAGAGTGTTAGCTCAGGTACATCACTGACATATCTAGAATACAGGAAATTTACATATATTGATACTTCATGAACACAGAAAAAATTTTTACTTAACAACAATAAATATACCAAAAAATCAGCATATCACTTCGTATGTACATTAAGAACTATTGTGTCACCTGGAAATACTTAAACCATAAGAAACTGGTGTTAATTTCAATGTATTTGTGGTACTGTTGAGGTATAGCATAAACACCTTACAAAATTCAGTGTTCAATATTTCCTCATGAAAGGGCTAAGTGCATTGCTCAGCATTTATAAACTGTGGATGTGAGTCCATGGTTTGCATTCTGCACTTTGGGACCATGAGTGCATTATAAGAGTGACAATCAAATTCCCCTAATTGATTATAATAGTGTAAGAGTTGTGGGTGAGTGCTGTTGACTGGCTGCATTCCCTCTAGCCTGTCAGTTAAAAGTTAAGGTTTACTGATGCACATAGCCCTTATGTAGCTTTACACAAATACCTGAAACAAACTTTCAACAACAAGGTTTACAAAAATGCAAAAAGAGGGAAGTAACAAAGCTTGAGTAATTTCTTTATTAATAGAAATATCAGGTTTAGGACAAAATAGTGTTTTAGCTTTCATATCTTTAGATGCATAAATTGGAAAGATTAAAATAGACTATATTTTTATACTACTACTGCTGTGTATGAGGCAGGCCAATAATACTGTATCCATGCATAATGCTTTAATTTAACCAGACCTTATTATGTGTATATTGTGTTACTGATGATGCCACCAGACAAGATATTAGACATAAACAAAGACAAAAAGAAGTAACAGAATGCTTTTCTATGAGTGCTAAAAAAGATTGGGTAATTTTGACCTACTATATTTCCCAGGTCTTAAGTGCTCCTCCTTTTCCATAGCCATTGCAGGATTTCTCAGAAACTGTATAAAAATGTACTGCAAAAATGACAAATGTACAGTATTCCTATTCAAGTCTATTCCTAAAGTGGTACAACACAAGGTGAATTTTATATTGTAATGATCCTGACAATTTGCATGTAGAATTTGAACAAAGTTATTAAAATGCAGTGGAAAAGCTTTGCATTTTTGATAAGTACACTGGAATGGGTGCCAACTGCCTGTTGTAGAAAAAATACAAGAGTAGAGAACAACATTTCAAAAGTCTTCCATCTTTTGTCTTCACTAAACAGAAAATTGGGATTAGAAGCGAGAAACCTATGGCTACTAGTGGTTATAGCCACATGCAGACATTCCACCAATCAGAATCAGGGATAAACAACCAATCACAACATGTCCTCCAGAATACTCTAAAAGACCCCCAAACAGCTCACACACACTGACCTGAAGACAGAAGATTTTCAAAATGTCATTCTCTACACTTTTTTTTTTCTACAGCATGCAGATGCCACCCATTCTAGTGTACTCATCATGAATACTCTGTCTAAACAATCTACTAAAGAATACTTTGCATTTTTTATTTAGTTATACCTACAAAGTTCTTATAGAAATTCATCATGGCCATAACTTGAAGTATCAAACTGCTAACTATACTTCTGTTTATAGTTGTGAGACAAAAAAAAATCCCCTGGTGGAACAGTGGTAATTTTATGTACTTATAACAATAAAATCTGGGGTTTGATTTCTTGCAGTGGACACAGCAGATAGCCCAATGTGGCTTTGCTCTAAAACATAGCCCAAAGGACAAATAAAACTGTATATGTTTAGTAGTTGCACTATATTGTTAACTAACCTTAATACTGAATAGCAGATGTATGTTTTTTTTAGTAATTAAATACAATAATAAGGGTCTACAAGACAAATACTGCTCTACATTATGTGGAAAACAAAGTAACTAAAAACAGAATCACCACCATAAAACAAAACAACATGATTAATCTTCTTTTGAATTTAAATTCCGAACATGTCCAAAGATTAATGATGCTGTATTTTATTGTGGTGATCCTGTTTTAAAGAGTAGACAAAGTTACTACAATTATTTAATGAACAAAATTTGACCATCAATGAAAATACACCTGAAGACTAATCATCCTTATAGTACAAGGACACAAAATTACATGTACTGACTATATACAAGCATAGTATATAGCCTTAAAATTATCACTGTGCTAACTATGATATTTATTAACACACAATATCGATGTTAATATAAGTTTATAGCATTTCTTTGTGAAATAATATATAAGTGTTTCTTCAATTAAAACAAATTTTTAGAAGTAAAATAATAAACACTAGGTTCAATCGATGAACAGTAAAATTTCTAATCCTTACCTAACTAATAAAGAATAAACAACCTTTTTCACAACCAAGTCTGGTACTGCTAAATACTTGAACAAGTGTCCAATAACTGGTCTTAAGTCAACTTGAAGATTCATCAAAGCCAGCACCTTTATTAAAAGAAGAACAAAGTAGTACTGAACAAAACACACACGACCATGAACCTTCTTCTAACTACAGTGTCCAAAACGTCTGGAACCACAGGTGATTTGCAGCTTTCCTTAATTTTAGATACATGACTGATTATGGTGCTGTCAAAGCATGAGAAGATTGAGTTAATCCAAACTTGATTTTAAATACAAGGACAATATGTGGAACATATTCTGTAAGATTCACTGAAGTGCCTGTGGTTCCAGGCTTTTCAGACACCCTGTACAAGTATTCATACAGGCACATCCTGAAGTTATTAGTAAATGAAGAAAAAACTATCTCAAACAATGAATGAATAAACATTTTAAAACTTTTATCGAGAAGGGGGGAGTTTCATACTCTATACCAGTGTTCCAGATAATTTGTTCTGTAAGGAGTAATCACTCCCAGAATTCAGTCAGCGGGAGTAATTTTTTACAAAGTGCAAAAGTAAATTCTTTTTTGAAATAGTAATTTAACTAATTATAGATTATCTTATTATTTGAAAAGGTGAAATTTAGCACATGATTAATCTAGCAAATTAAATCACCATATGTAGTCATAATAAACACAAATAATGACATTAAAACTTTTTATTTTCTTGTTTAACACAAAAGTGGATTATTCATGAGTGCACCAAACGTCTAGTGGTTAGATAGTACTTATTTTTGTAGTTCTACTGTGGGAACTGTACAGAACTGCAGAAGGTTACAATAATTCAACCATTATTTAATATACCACTGTTAAAGCAGCAGGAGCTGTATTCATTTTTCCACAGCAGTAAAAAAACTCAATATTTTTTAAGGCCATAAATGGCTGATTTTTGGTCAGGAATTATGCCTCTTATGTGAAGCACTGCTCTATACAAATTGTACAGAGTGCCTCCACCTTTCACACCACCAAAAAGAACCTGTAGTTAGTTGAAACAACTTTTTTATTTTACGGTATGTTTAATAAAATATGAAACTACAATCTCTGACACTACAGCCAGATGAAGGCTGCAGTTTTGTTCTAGCTTGGTCAAAACCCTAAATTAAATCCCAATAAAGCCATATATATATATATCATTTTACAGTTAATTAGCAAGAAAAATAATTTAAGATGATTGTACAGTATGAATAAATCATATTCACATTAATTCAACCACCTATTAGTGTAGATACGGAAGGTCAGGACCCCACCCCTATCCAGAAAAAAAAAAAAAAGACAAATATGGAGGTCTAAAGTAAGTAATAATTATATGTTTCCATTAATGAAAATTGGATCAGCATATCCCTTATTCCTCATTTTTAAAACAAATGATATATTTATTTAGGCTGAGTGCATACAATGGTTATCATGTTGAACTGAGGTTCCATGGTTCGTGTTTTATTACTGCCAAACAAAAACAGTTCTACTCTACAGTTTGAGGCTATGAGCAAACCATAAGTCAGTCTATCATTTTAAACTTTGAGACAGGTAGCCTTAGTGTGCAAAATCCAATAGTTATATTTATTTCCTTAAATAACATATTATTAATAAATTACATGCATTATCACAACTACACCTATATATCATGAAGCTTATATTCTAGTCCAAGAGTTAGATTTTCTTCCCTATATAAAATCCTGTATTTGCTACAGCTCTGTATAACAATAATTTATTTTATCAACATATACACTTTTGGAATGTTCAAAGAACATAAATTTGTCTTAGTAGTCAATGCTAAATGGGTTCTTGACTGAATGATTGTGACATATTAAATAACATTTGCAATATCTTGATATTAGATAAGTATGAAAATTTACTAATACTGAATTTACAGAGCAATTAAATATCCAAAAGTAATTAATAATTACTACAATTTAAAAAGTGCATGCACTTGTTTGTCATTGCTAATTACTAGAAGTGAAGACCTTATATACTGTAGAACACACTTCTTTTACTAGAAGTACATATATAAAGTTTATGTGCGTAGTGCTGAAAGAAGAGTAGGTTTTTATTAATAGTTATATTAAGGTCCTCGATGGGTCAGTGGTAAGTTTATAGACATGCAATGCTAAAATCTGGAGTTGGATTCCCACAGTTTACAGAGCGCATATGGCCCAAATAAGTAAGTAAGCAAAGTAAGCTTTATTAAAAATAGTTTTAGAAATGTCCAGATGTTTTTTGTTTGGAGAAATATTTTTAAGGGCAGAATATATCTGAGATACAAGCATACCACTAAGTGTTTCTTGATTTCTACTATTATCAAACAAGACATTTTTTCTAAAACTTCTAATCACACTTTGTTCTCCTCTTTTTTTTCTCTTCCATTCAGGAATATTAATAAACTTGTTAAACTACATTCTCAGGAACAGATATTAATAAATTTCAATTTTTAAGGAGTAACTATGTATTCCTTTATTGAATAATAGTAATAATTTAGCTCTGGCACATAAACTGATTAATATATTGTGATGAATTGGCTCCAGTGTTTGGTTTAGCACACTCTTCATAAACTAGCTGCAAGGCGTTATTCATTTTCATATCTAATAAGCTGCAATAGCAAATATTATCTGTTATAACTTCAGCAAATTGCATGTAGTTTGAGTTGTTCTAAAACTTTGATAATTGAGCTATAATACATTGCCTAATTACTTTTAATGAATAAAATGTACAAGTTAATTAATAAATTTATATTTCAATGGGATGTTTGTAAAATATATAAATAAAATATAATATGTTAATTAAATTAGTAAAGAAATGAATGTGAGGAGTTAATTCATTACATTTGATTAACAAACTATGAATTATCCAATTACCATTCAATAGAGATAGTGAGCTAACTGATCAATTTCAGTGATTAATGAATTGCTATAGTTTCATTAATTAGTTTCAGGAATTATCAATTAAGATAATTATAAATATATTTGTCATAAGACATTAGTATTAGGCTTATTATAATTTTTTAACACTGCATCCTTTATTTTGTCCTCTAGGGATTTTCACGAATTAGAAGAGGTTATAATAATAACAGTATTTCAACCACACTATGTTTGCCATGTCCAGTACGTGTTTCAGTTTCACTCAATACAGAACTCCTCAGGCTGACTGGAACACAACAAATACACTTATACAGTATTGGTCAAGAGTGCTGTGTGTGAACAGTCTTAAACATTATTCTGTCTTACACGATAAGGTATACTAATGTAAGTTACAGATTTCGATGGTCTGAGCCTTAAAAATGCAATTGTTTCAATGAATTTAAGGGATTTGACTTTATCAAAATCAAATATATCTACTGTACATAGACTAATGCAATACCGAACCCCTATTTTTGAAAGACGAAACTGTATTTGTTTGTAAAATTTATGTGCGCTGAAGATATAGTAAACAAAATTTGTTAAAAAAAACAACTTTACATTCAATTTAACAGGAACTCATACTGACTGCTGTTGACAGATTTATTGTAAAATTGTATCATAAACGGTAACCGTAAAGTGATCGATAGATGTCTTAGGAATTTGCCTACAAAAAAAACGATTAGCCCAACAGTTGTGATTAAAAATAAAATTAAAAACTGGTAATTACTAACGTTAAACAGTCGTTACATATTGTTATTTGTAATTACAATTCTAAAATATTGTACAGATACGCCCTAACAGTAACAAGCTAATGCTGAAATAACAATACCACATTTTCGTAACGACTATAGTCTACATCGTTTTAACTTTAATAAAACTAAAGTTAATACAACTTACCCTTCGCATTACATCCCGACGAGTCACAACGTCCTGCATTACTGTTAATTGGGACAATGTCAAAATAATATTTTTCACTTCTTGAGCCATTATTAATATTATAATTAATGTTTTTTTATGCTAAAAGTGGAGTTCTTCTTAGAACGGATAAATTATACATTATTGTACATATATATGGATAACGCTTAGTCTACATATATGAAAAGCACAAACAAAACATTGAATTCCACATTTTCTTAAACAAAAACTCAATATACACGATAAACCTAATCGTTAGAAGTTGCGTTGTTTTCATTGTTCTATTCAAATAATGGTGACAAAATAAAGTATGAAATGTTACACGAATTTTTATTATATAAAAAAGTACAACTTATGCTATTTCGAGAGAATCGCTTTTGGCATGGATAATTAAATTAATTATTTTATAGTTAACTAATTAATTCGAATATAATAATAAATTATTTACGTTTGCATTAATTGGTAGAATAGTCATAATTATACATAATTTTTACTCATGCAATATGTTATACACAGCAATGTTTATTTGCTATTGTTGAATTTTATGCAAGGCTACACGAGTGCTACCTGCTCTAGTCGTCCCTAATTTACAAGGCAGTGCTAGTCAACATCATCCATCACTAACTATTGGGATACTTCTGATTGACTAGTGGGATTAGTCTTTACTTTATAACGCCCCTACTTAATTAAAGGGAAAACATTAACCACCAGGCCATATAATAATGAAAATTTTCTATACACATCACAGAGTTGTGATTTGGTGGTGTGGGCGATTCAAATAAATACTGTTACGTCTCCGTTCGTTAGTTAATTTTCCGTAAATTTCGTTCCGACGAAACTTTAGCTACACAAGTCCTTTCTTAAATAAAACTGGTTTATTCTTTCTGAATACAACTTTGCAATACACTTAATTTCTACAGTCGCGCAATAACAAACGCTATAATTCACAACGAACGTCTCATGTGCTCAACTCAACAATACTCTGTCCGTAGTTCAATTACACATTGTGCCTGTCGCTTCTTGGCCGGTCTTATATATACAAGACTACCCCATATCTAGCAGTCTCCCGACGCTTCATGAACGTTCTAGAAGCGCGTGGCGTGTTACAAGGGTCACGTGACCTCCGCTGTCGTAACAATACTACAGCGTACAGTTAGTTTCTGCAAAGTATTGTTACGTCTCCGTTTGTTAATTAACTTTCCGTAACTTTGTTCCAACGAAACTTTAACGACACAAGTCTTTACTTAATAAAACTGGTTTATTCTTTCCGAATATAACTCTGCGATACACTTAATCTCAATACTCGCGCTAAAACAACACTGTAACGAACGAACGTTAACTTCAACAATACCGTGTGACTGCAGTTCAATTACTCACTATCTACCCACACATTACATTCCCCTCTTTTATATACCAGCCTACCCTATATCTAGTAAGAACTAGAACATTTGCCAAAATACAGGATAATTCTAGAAAGTAGAGAGCGTGAGAGTCACATGATCTCGATGACGCAACACTGCCCCCTCCTTAATATTGTTCGTCCCGAACAATAACCACAT